TGCTTCTTGATTTAAGAGTTTTGAGATATTTGGACTAGAAAAAAAAACAAAAACTCAGGATGACGCTGAGAAATTACTGTTAACGTGTGCGTTTGTGTGTGTGCGTGTGTGTTTATGTGTGTGTGTGCGCGTGCGTGTGCGCGTGTGATTTTATGCAATGGTCTTTCATATCATTACTCATCATGATTTTGTGAACATTTGTGGGTGAAATGTTTTCAGATTCAGTGGATGAGTCAAACACACACCCACCCACACACACACATTTACACACACTCAAATGCATGGACACATACATTACCTGACAAAATTAGTGGATCCCAGTTGTAAGAACAGCAAATAATAACTGGACTTAGCTGATCATTTGTTAAAGTGGCAGAAGGTGGACTTTTCTGATGAATCATCTGTTGATCCTGTGCATCTTAATCATCTTTGTTGCCATCTTGTGGCGCAATCGTCTTTGCTTTGCTCAGTATGACAGGCTGATGGCCATTGAGGAGCTGTATCTCAGAAATTATGAATATTTAAAATTGGCATAAACTGCATATGTGCAATCTTAACAACTACATTCTCGACTAAAACAGGCCTCAAAAGTGCATGATGTTGTCCAACAGCTGCAACATTTCTCAAACTGTAGTGAGTTTATCCGCTTGTTAAGTGATGATGTGTTGATGACGTTTGTAATACTGTTTCCGGGTCCAAGTAGCCGCTCATTTGAGTGGCGAAATCATTCGTTTATGATCATTTTTTTATTTATATCACATATTAAAGGTAATTTTATATAAAGTCATAGTGTACACAACAATCTCTGGGCTTGCTGCATAACAAATACCAACATTTTAACAATTTATAACAAAATGAATCACAGTCATCGGATATTAGGCATGGACATATATATTGAAATTGTGATTTTCGAAAGTATTAAATCGCTTTGTTAACGTTTATTATTACCATTTCAAGAGTCTCCCCATTCATTTGAATGGAGCGGTTGGACCCGGAAGCCGCTTCGCGTGACGTCACACTTAACAAGCAGATTGATCTGCTGCCACACGAGGCTGTACGAGTGCTGTATCGCACAGCTAACGCCCCATTCGCATGGGACTTCAGCGTCAACACTTGACTGAAGGCGTGTCTGAAGTTGGGACTGAAGCGATCATCATAGCAGCATCAGCCAATGAAATTCAGTCAGCAATAGGCCACTGTCTGAGCTGGTTTATTTGCATACATTGATCTGATTGGCTGACGCTTCCATCGGCGCTTGAAAAGTTGAGAAAGTCCCAACTTCTGCAGCGAGCAACGCCTCTGAAGCGGCGCCGACGGATCCACAATGTAGTTCGGCCACGCCTGACGTCACCCATTCAAAGTGAATGGGAAGCGTTGACGCTGACGCCCCGTTTGAATGGACCGTAACAGCCAATCAAATTCAAGAACCAGACAGAACTGTTGTATAAATATACTATATTATATATATAGGTACTGCATTTGAATGTAAACGTACTACTCGGCCATTAGAAAAGTACGTTCTGTACAGTATGAATGTGAAAAGTATAAATGGAATTCGGACGTACTGCATCCGCCATTTTGATATAGTCTTGTGATGTACCTGCGTCATTTGCGTCGCTTTACTCCCATTCATGAATTCGCTCGCGAGGCATCATGGGATAGCGCAGCATGCATGGGATGCGCACTCCAGAATCTCGCTGGAAGTAGTAAGTCATCCGGGTACTTCTCGCATACTGATTTTAAATTCTATGAAATCAGACCCTACTACTCAGCTCACATACTGATTTTAGCGTACTGTATAGTATGGAAGTATGCGGTTTCGGACGCAGCCATACCCTCTTTTCAAAAAACCCTCTTTTCAAAGAAGTCCTTCAGACCTCTTTTCTTGTAAATGAGCATTTTCTATCAGGCTCCTCTGATTAGGTTCAGAAGTTTTGTTTAATAGCTAATGAAAAGGTTTTTCGCTGGTATAGTAAATAATGTATGGTAAATAAATTAATTTACCATTTACTAAATAAATTCATAAATGTTGCTTTAGATAATTCTTTGGTTTTTAACCAGGGAGACTTTCTTTTGCATCAAAAACAGCAAAACCCACTGCTGCTTTTATTGCAAAAACCTCTAAATCCACCTATCGGGATAAGACTGTGTCATTAGCTGAAAATCATTAAAGATGCGATGAGAAATCATTTTACCACACATAAAACACCTAAAATAAAAAAATATATAAATCTGTCAAGCAAGTGCATTAATCAATAACATTAAAACTGACATTAATTAAGTCTGAACAAGCTGTTGTCATTTCTCATAATCGGGATTTAGATTTAGGGGTAAGTAAAATAATGTAAACATTGCAAACTCAGCTTGGTAGATTCAAATAATGTAGTGTAAAACATTGAGAATATCTGTGCATTGTAAATTAATAAAAAAATATATATAATTTTTGGAGGTAATATCAATAATGTATAGTTTTGTACATTATATTTATCTTTTTAAAAATAGTAATTTTAGAAGCTGTCGTTCATTCATTATCACCATACTCAAAGTCTCTTTTTCGTCTCTTGTTTATCCTCATAGCATCCATGCGGGTTAAAGCACGGCATCTACTTAACTTCGTCTTTAGTGAAACACAGTTAATGTGTAGTAAATCAGACTCATTCAAAGTAGCATCGCTGCGCAAAAACACGTTATGAATGCATCCTACACTTCTTTTTCTTATCATTTCTTATTAATTATATTATTAATAATAATCTTATTATTATTTACATTTGCCATTTACTGACAGTTGGACAGGCTCATGCAGTTCATCAAACTTCTTTTAAAGTCTAAATCGAAAGCGTCTCCTCATAAAGCATAAAGATTCTCAGGATATAGCGGCTTTTGCTGTCAAAGGCAAATGGATTTTAACGGCTTTTGCCAACAAACTGTTATGTCTGAATGCGCTGACGCTGTGATTTGGATGATTAGCCAATCTATTTGTTGATGGCGCAGTACGTGCCGAAAGCATTCACTCGATGTGATTAGCTCATTTTTGGTGGAAGTGGCGTTTAGCTGCTTTTGCATCAACACTCTTATATTTCACATTTATCTTATTTAATAAAAATTTTTTTGGTTTTATTTTATTTGACATTTATATTTATGTAATTAATTTTTATTTTCATCACTTTTAGCAGATTACAGATTTATGTACTTAATGACGTTGGTTAGTTGTTTAATGGCTGTTTTTGCATTGTGATGTTGACTGTGTGTGTGCGTGTGTGTGTGTATGCGCGCGCGTGTGTGTGTGCGCGCCTGTGTGTGTGTGTGTTTTGTGACATATCAGGACACAAATCTGTATAATGACATGGGTATGACACAAGTTTTACAAAAAGGAGGTGAAATATGAGCACATTAGTGACGTCCTCATTTCTCAAAATGCTTATATATCCCACAGAATGAGTTTAATCAGAGAGTAAAGCTGCACACAGACTCCTGTGATGGTTGGGGTTAGGGGTGGGGTTGGGTGAGGGCAATATAATATACGGTTTGGACAGTATAAAGTGAATGGAAACCTATGTAATGTCCCCACTTTTCACAAAAACAAACGTGTGTGTGTGTGTGTGTGTGTGTGTGTGTGTGTGTGTGTGTGTGTGTGTGTGTGTGTGTGTGTGTGTGTGTGTGTGTGTGTGTGTGTGTGTGTGTGTGTGTGTGTGTGTGTGTGTGTGTGTGTGTGTGTGTGTGTGTGTGTGTGTGTTTTTCAGCTCACTGGTATTGTTCTTCAGGGAGCGAAGCGTGTTCAGGTGAATGTTTACCTGCAGCAGCACTCATCATTCAGGTCAGTCTCCAGGAAACACTACAATATATACTGTACATTCATTCATTCAGCTTAGTTCCTTTATTCATCAGGGGTTGCCACAGCAGAATGAGCCCCCAATTATTCCAGCATGCGTTTTACACAGTGGATGCCTTTCCAGCTGTATCCTAGTGCTGGGAAACACCCATACACACACACACACTCATACACTACGGCCAATTTAGCTTATTCAATTCCCCCATAGCGCATGTGTTTGGACTGTGGGGGAAACCGGAGCACCCGGAGGAAACCCAAGCCAACACGGGGAGAACATGCAAACTCCACATGGAAATGCCAACTGACCCATCCAGGACTCGAACCAGCAACCTTCTTGCTGTGAGGCAACAGTGCTAACCACTGAGCCACCGCACCGCCCCTAGAATATATACTATTCTTTATATATTCTAAATATATATAGTAAACACTATAATTATAAACACACCACTGTTAAAACTAGATCTACTGTACATTAATGACATAGCAGGACTCAGATTTGAGTATTAAGTAAATAGAAAGGATTATTTTTAGTCAGGAAAGTGGTGCTGTATAACTGCTGATAAACATTACATAAGCAGAAGTGGGTCAGTCCAGCTGTAATGATTGACAGCTCATCACATGTATTTTTAATATTCTCTGTGCATTGTTTTACTGTAATCTGATTAGGGCAGTACGGTTGTCTCAGTGCTTAGCACTGTGTCCTCACAGCAAGAAGGTCGCTGGTTTGAGTCCCAGTTGGGTCAGTTGGCATTTCTGTGTGGAGTTTGCATGTTCTCCCCGTGTTAGCGTGGGTTTCCTCTGGGAGCTTCGGTTTAGGGGAATCGATGAACTAAATTGGCCGCAGTGTATGAGTCCGTATGGGTGTTTTCCAGTACTGGGTTGCAGATGGAAGGGAATTTGCTGTGTAAACAGCTGGCGGTTCATTCCGCTGTGGCGACCTTTGAAATAGAGACTAAGACAAAGGAAAATTAATGAATGAATGATAATCTAATCAGTTTTTGGACATCACATTGAGTCAGATTTTCAAAATGAAATGTATTTATTTAGATTTGTGTGTGCTAATAAACAAAATAAAATACAAACAAGACTGAGATTGCTCCAAGTGGTGAATCAGTGAACAGTTTTATATAGTTTTTACTTGGGTCTTTTGCAAGTTGTCAGCCCTTTTAATGAAACCTTTGTCAAATATAGCTGCATTCAATAGCCTGGTTAGCAGAATCCACAACAAAACAAACATATAAAACCCCAAAAATGTAAATAATGACATTAAATGATTAGCTTATATAATTTAATAAATAAAACTCTCAATCAAATGTTTGCAATGTGTTTGTAAATGTTGTTTTTGATGGATGTTTGGCTTGAGATTTGTTGCATTCACACAGTTTGGAGGTGCATGAGGTGATTCAAACACTTCAAACCAGTGAATCATTTGACCGAGCAATTGATTCAATAGATTCAAAGCTCAAACCTTTCATCTAGTTCTGGATAGCACAACATGATATTTCAAAATCAACAATCCAAAATCATTGAACAACTGGTCGGTGTGACCGAAAAAGCCTCCCGTTTGACCCGAGAGCTTGGCTTGGTGTTGAAATGTGATCCATCTGCATGTCAAGCCGTCACGGCACAGATAAATCTCACTCATGGGCCTGTGAACGGAAAACATCTCGCCTCGTCTATAATTATCAGCGTGACACATGGACGTGATCTGACTTCCCACAGTTTGTCTGAAGTGATAAAACTCATCTGACAGAAGTTTGTGCGTCTCAAACACTCACAAAATCTCTTTCTCTTTCTGCTTTGCAGTCAGACTGGGAAAATCCAGACGCTGGTGTTTCCAGTGATGTACATTAATGAGGTAAAGACCAAGAAAATCAATTAGTTACAAAGTAATCAATACCAAAGTTATAATGTGTTTAAACAATAAAGAGATTACAAAGTATTTAAACAGTACTGAATGTTAGAGTATTTAAACAGTACTGTGGTTGCATAGTATTTAAACAGTACTGAATGTTAGAGTATTTAAACAGTACTGTGGTTGCATAGTATTTAAACAGTACTGAATGTTAGAGTATTTAAACAGTACTGTGGTTGCATAGTATTTAAACAGTACTGAATGTTAGAGTATTTAAACAGTACTGTGGTTGCATAGTATTTAAACAGTACTGAATGTTAGAGTATTTAAACAGTACTGTGGTTGCATAGTATTTAAACAGTACTGAATGTTAGAGTATTTAAACAGTACTGTGGTTGCATAGTATTTAAACAGTACTGAATGTTAGAGTATTTAAACAGTACTGTGGTTGCATAGTATTTAAACAGTACTAATTGTTAGAGTATTTAAACAATACAGAGATTACAAATTATATAAACAGTACTGATGTTACAAACTATTTAAACAATACTTAGGTTACAAAGTACATAGTACTGAGGTTACAAATTATTTAAATTGATTTAAAGTTACAAAGTATGTAATCAATAGCAAGGTTACAACATATATAAACAGTACTGAATGTTACAAAGTATTTAAACATTACTGTGGATAAAAAAGTGTTTAATATACTTAGACTGCAAAGTACATAATGCCGAGCTGACAAAGTTTTTATATAGGTCTGAAGTTACAAATATGTAATCAATTTAAAGTTACAATGTATATAATCTGTACCAAAATTACAACGTATTTAAAGGTACTGAATTTTAAAAAGTATTTAAATAGTACTGTGGTTGCAAAGTATTAAAAACATACTTAGGTTACAAATGACATAATACTGAGGTTAGAAAGTGGTTGAATAGGTCTGAAGTTACAAAGTACATAAACAGCACTGAATGTTAGATTAGTTAAACAGTATTGTGGTTGCAAAGTATTTAAAATGTACTTGGGTTAAAAATGTACTTAGGTTTCAATGTATTTAAATAGGTCTGAAGTTTTGAAATATGTAATCAATAAGGTTACAAAGTATTACAGAGGTTGCAAAGTATTTAAAAAGTAATGATTGGCATAAAGTAATTCAACAGGACTGTGGTTACAAAGTATTAAACATAATTGGGTTACAAATGACATAATACTGAGGTTACAGAGTGTTTGAATAGGTCTGAAGTTACAAAGTATTTAACCAATACAAGGTTACACAGTGTTTAATGTGTACTGAGGTTAAAAAGTATCTAAACAATACTAAGGTTACAAAGTATATAAACAGTACTGATGTTGCAAACTATTTAAACAATACTTAGGTTACAAAGTACATAATACTGAGTTTGCAAATTATTTAAATTGATTTTAAGTTACAAAGTATGTAATCAATAGCAAGGTTACAACGTATTTAAAAAGTACTGACTGTGACAAAGTATTAAAACTGTGGTTGCAAAGTATTTAAAATACTTAGGTTACAACGTACATAATGCTGAGGTGACAAAGTATTTAAATAGGTCTGAAGTTACAAATATGTAATCAATACAAAGTTACAAAGTTTTTATTGTGTACTGAAGTTTCAAAGAGTTTAAACAATAACAAGGTTACAAAGTATTTACACATTAAACAATACTGTGGCTGCATAGTATTTTAAAATTTTTAGGTTACAAATGACATAATACTGAGGTTACAAAGTGTTTAAATAGCTCTGAAGTTACAAAGTTCATAATCAATTCAATTCAATTCAGCTTTATTTGTATAGCGCTTTTACAATGTAGATTGTGTCAAAGCAGCTTCACATAAATGGTCATAGTAACTGGAACAGTGTGGTTCAGGTTTTAGTGTTTAAGTTCAGTTCAGTTCAGTTTAGCTCAGTTCAGTGTGATTTAATCATTACTGAGAGTTCAAACACTGAAGAGCAAATTCATCGATGCGTAGCTCTACCAATCCTGAACCATGCGAGGCAGTGGCGACAGCAGAGAGGGAAAAAAAAACTTCACCTGATGGGAGTGAAGAAAAAAAAACCTTGAGAGAACCAGACTCAGTTGGGCACGACCATTTTAATTTCTCCGCTGGCCAAAAGTCTTGTGCAGAACTTCATTCGCCGTGGTTTATGCTGGAAGATGGCCTCAATGAAGACTCGTCTGTCCCTGGAGCGTCGCTGGAATCAGACTCATGTTCTCCACTCCCCACGACCATCAGCGCAGCAGCAGCTCAGGATATGGCCTGGTCCCGGATATGGAATCCTTGGGATCATCACGTCGCTGGTCTTGGATCCAATCAGTGACTCCGCCTAATCTGAGGACCTCGGGATGAGTATCCCCAGGTGAAAATAGAGAATAAAGAGAATAATTAGCGTAGCTGCTGTTCATAGTGTATATAAGCAAGATGCAGAAGCCTGTGTGGAACCCGCTAGGTGATGCATTGAGTGTATGCTTTACAAATCATACAAATCAATACAAAGTTGCAAAATATTTTATGTGTACTGAGGTGGGAAAGTATTTAAACAATACTGATGTTACAAACTATTTGAATAATACTAACTATTGAACAATACTGAGGTTACTAAGTATATAATCAATACAAAGTTACAAAGTATCTCATATGTATTGAGGTTGCAAAGTATTCAAATGATACAGAGGTTACAATCTATTTAAACTGTATTGACGTTAAAAAGTATTTAAAAATGCTTAAGTTACAAAGTACATAAACGATGCAGAGGTTACAAACCAAACGTGTTTTAAGTTGTTAGTTCTAAATGCATCTGCCAACTGTAAACTCAAACAATGAATTAAATGAAATTAGTTCTTTTCAATCACAAATTAATAAAGGTTCCTTGTTGAAAAGAGTAAAGATCTGCTTGTGTTGTTGACAAAACAAGGAGTGCTCATGTTTTTCTGTGTTTGTATAAAATTACATCAATAAACCCCAAATAGACACGAGAATCTGATGCTTGCCGACAGTGATCAAGCACTTCAGAGCTTCACTATTATGTGTTCAGAAGTAAAACACTTTTCCTCGATGCTTATCTTCAGTTCAAACTTTGTTTTGAAGTTATGTTTGTGTTTGAGAACTGAAGCTTCTGATGTCTCATTCTCTGGAGAATTGAAGACAACCTGCAGTCGGATGAGACTTTAACAGATTTCCAGACACTTACAGGGAATTTTATTAAATAACAAAGACATTTAAAGATTTCAGAGACTATTTAAAGATCTTTTGAGACTTTTGTTTGGCAATTTGAGAAGCTCTTTGATTTTTTTAAATACTTTTTTATAACCCTTTAGTGACATCCAGAGAGATTTTGATACTTTCCTTGACTTTTAGAGACTTTCAGTGCTGCTGATGATGTGACAATAAAAGTGATTTGATTTTATTTGATTTGATTTGGGAGACTCTCTGAGATTTATGGAGACTTTTAGAGATTTATTGGCACCTTTAGAGACTTTCAGAGATTTATGGGACCTTTAGAGATTTTCAGAGATTATAGTTACTTTTAAATGTTCATTGGCACCTTTAGAGACTTACAGAGACTTTTGGAGACTTTTTGAGATTTAAAGAGAGTTTCAGATATTTTTCTTTAGGACTTCTAGAGACTTTTGGACTTTAAGAGATTTGGAGGATCTCTCTGAGACATTGGAGAATTTTAGAAACTTTACAAAACTTTGAGTTTTATGAGCACTTTTAGAGACTTTCAAAGACATTTGGAGATTTCTATAGACTTTTAGAGATTTTTGGAGAGTTTTGGAGACCTTAAGATTTTTGGAGATTTCCAAGGATTTATGGGGACTTTTGAAGATTTCTGGAGACTTTTGGGAGACTTTTAAGAAATTTTCAGAGACTTTAGAGATCTTCTAGGGACCTCTAGATGCTATTAGAGCCTTCTGGAGATTGGTAGGAACTTTTAGAAACTTTCAGAGATTTATGGAGACTGAGAAACTTTACGATACTTGACAAGATTTATGCGCACTTTTAGCGACTTTCTGTGATTTATGGGTACTTTCAGAGACTTTTTGATACTATTGGGAGACTTTCAGATATTTTTACAGACCTTTAGATATTTTATAGACTTTTGGAGACTGATCCAGACTTCTAGAGACTTTCAGATAATTTTGGAGACTTTTGAAGACTTTCATAAGCTTTCAGTCTTAAGATTAGGTTATTTTTGAGTTCCATTGGGTCTCAGATATCAGACAGGATGTGCAGCTGAACAACAAAGGAACAAAGTGTCTTTTTCCCCTCGCATCTTATCTTCTAAAAATGTCCATTCTGTCTTCCAGAGTGCCTTCATTGATGAGGAATCTGCCAAAAAGCTACACGCAGTCGTCCTCAATGCCAACGTGGTCATCAACATCCCATTTATCGTGATCAGCGTTGGCATTTTACTGGGCATCATCTTCATCGTCCTCATGTGTCGACAGCAGATGCCACCGGTGAGCTTTTGTGATGTCACTTCCTGTGTTGCAATTTTTAGCAAACTAACAAAAAAGTCTGAATGAAATGTTTGAAATTAAGATGAATTCAAATTACAGAACGGTACGTTTAAATAAATAACGTACTTTTAGGAAGACTTTCAGAGATTTTTGGAGACAAAAATTATTTTGGGACATTGATAGGGACTTTTAGAGACTTCTTACGTTGTTATTTTTAGTAAGCTATCAAGCATTGGTGTAGATTAAAAAGAAGATAAAATAAAATGACATCAAATCTTACATTTAAATAAATAAAATTATTTTAGAAAGACTTTCAAAGACTTTTAAAAACTTCTGGATATGGATTGAGACTAAGATTGATTGAGATTAAATAAAATTACTAAATTTTACATTTAAATAATAAAAAAGTACTAATAATATTAAATGATAAAATGTGAAAAATATGAAGAAATACTACTTCAGTTTTTTAAAATTCAAATTTAAGCCAATATTGCTTTTAGTTTTTACTACATTGTTGTGATTGCTCCTGCAATTGAAAAGCAATTTCTCACAAAAATTCAGTTTCTTCTTCTATCTCAATTAATATTAATATATTTTACCAACAAATTAAGAATAAATATAAAAGCATATTTAAAATACGAAGCTAAAATAAAATATAAACACGTAAACATTACAAATGAAAATTCTAACTAAAATAGGGAAAATAGTTTAAAAACTAGACATCAAAATCTGTTTAAAAATAATTTTATTCATTAAAATATTTATCTTATATTTAATAAGAACTTTATATATAAATAATAAAAACATATTAATAAAAATTAATAACAGTACATAATTTTTAAAAATTTAATATTAATGTTTGTTCTGATTTTTCAGAGCACCTTGGCCGAGCGGGAGCCGCTGCTTTCATCATAAACCCTGCGTATAACCTGGAGGATGTCCTGATGAACTAACATTTGCATTACACGCTGAACTTGATTCATTTTCACACGATGAGAGTCTGTTCAAAGAGCATCGATAATGCGACAGACGACTCAGAGTACAAAGTTCGTCTCAGGTCACCTGGCCGTCGGATCCATCGCCAGGTCTTTCAAAACGTCTTTTAATGCCATTTAATGACTTGTATGATTCATTTGAGTATCGTGAAACCAAATTGCAAATGTGCTGCCAAATTAGCCTTCCAGAATTAGTTTTACGATCTGAATTGAACGATTCAGAAAACACTAAATGATGCAACGTATTACACATTACAGGTTGGCATATTGATGTCAGCTGTACACATCACCACAGCTGGATTGATATGCTTATGCAATGCTTTAGCAATGAGATCATAAACTGACAGCTCTGCCAATTAATGCCAATGCAAGTTTTAATATTTAATAACATGCCAGTATGTGTTTTAGAATCACTAAATCAAAAAATTATAATTTTTTTAATGCTGCTGTACTGATTGTCTTTGGTGCCATGAGATAATGTATTTACACTAAGGTTGTTTTCTGGCAAATTAAAGGTACAGTTCACATAAAAGTAAAAATCTGCCACTATTTACTCATTGTGTTAAACACAAATGGAAGATAACCTGAAGAATGGTGGGTAAAAACAGACATAGACTTATTTTTGTTCCTACAATGGATGTCAATGGCTGCTTTTTAACAACATTCTTCCGAAAATCTTTTATTTATTTTTATTTTTTTTGGATTAATAATTTTGTTGCTTAGAACCGCTGGAATGTAATTAAAGTATGATGAAATTAGCTTTTTGGGGGTGAACTGGTCCTTTAAATGATGTTTTTCAGATACAAACCGTTTATATATATATATATATATATATATATATATATATATATATATATATATATATATATATATATATAGCATTGGATTAATAATGTTTTAGAGTTATTTGAAACACTTCAATATTGCCATAAAAAAATCCCAGCTATTATTCCTCTATATGCAACTTTAAACTGTCTTGAATGAACACGTCAATTCATCTTCAGTGTCAAGTAAAATGAGTATAAAGAGTTTCTCCCTCACAGTATTACTACAGCACAGTGAACTTTTATTTGTTTTATTAATTTCCCTGCACTGGTTTTTAGTTTGCTTGTTAAACCTATTGTCTGCCATTGTTCATTATATTTTATTCTTGTATTGAATGTTTACGTGCTGCATGGTTTAGATCTTGATTATCCAAACCAAACTATGGGAGGTTTTAATATTTGAAAAGGGAAGATGTGTGGGTTATCTGAAACTGTGGTCTTGTTTTGGTTTCACTTCAGCTTGATATGGTAAATGTGACCTTTTCCCAGGGTGGAAAAATAATAAAACTAATAATGATATGATGATTGTGAATTATCACAATCTAAGACCCAGTGTTGGATGTTTGCTGAAATCAAAAACTGTTTAGAAATGCATTGGTTCAGTGTTTACAATTCATTTTCATACATTTATTTCATCATGGGAGCATTTTAGTCTGTTTTTTCTTAAAAATATTGCACTGTCAATGTAACAAAATAATGAGGCAAACAATAAAACATAACAAAAAAAATATCACTTTATCTATCTGGTATTTACAAAATAAATAAATTTCTGATTCTTCTTGAAGCTTCAGCTAGTAATAAAATACATCACTCTTTTGCCATGCGTGTTTGTATTTTATCATGTCAAACATCTCAGCCTCAGTGTATCTTAATCAAAATGCAAAGTTAATTTTTGACATCTTATCAAGATCTGTACAACTAAAACAACTCTGATAATGGATGATGCAACTGGAGTTCTTGTAGCCCGTGTGTTTCTGAAGAGACGACTCTGTCAATAGTATCATCCCTTTCCTTTTCATATTTCCATTTTTTGGAGTTTATGACCATTTCCTTGGATTCACCTGAATACAGTCTTCGGATTATTGATGTCTTTTATCAAGTTTTATTGTTTTGTATGATTAATTTAGATCCTGATGTCTGAGAATCGACGGATGGATCATATTTCAGTTATTAGGTTGGTATTTGAATTTGGCGCCAGAAATAACCGTCTCCCGTCAGGCCTGCTGAGCTCTATTGAACGAGCACGTCTGTTTCCTGGAAAAGAGGAGATTTCGGTAGGTTAAACTAAAATAAAATGACTGTCATAAAAGGATAAAGCAAATATAATCTTTGAGAATGTATTTCCCGCTCGTGAATGAACTGACAAATCTTAATTGCCTTGAAGTTGCTGATTCACACATTGGTTAATGTGTGATAAACTCTTATCAGCTGTACAAGTTGAGGTTCAGGTTTTTGTGTGAAAGTGTTTTTGGTGATTAAGGTTGTTTGTCGATACAGTTTTGGCAAGATTGGACGATAAATTCGCGTTTTTAAAGAGTGAATCACACCTGAATAAACGAACGAATCGAATCGCCCGTTTGAATCAAATTCAAACATGATTCGTTCAGTCGGTACATGGAAGTTGTATGCTAAAATTTCACCTCACGTCTAAAAGGTAAACATTATCATAAAATGAACGCCTCGTTTATTAATTTTAGTTTGAACAGAAGCTCATATCTTTTACAGTAGGCAATATTCCAACAGGAAACAAGCGATTTATTGGAGGGAAAACGCCAAACATCAGCAAGTTATATATCAGTGTTTTTCTGTCATGTCTGTTTACATAATGAAGTTAGGCCCAATAATATCACTCGAGGTGTAATGATATCAGCATTTTAAAGGAAGACTAGGCTGTTGTTTAAGTCATTGCTATTAGGAAATAACTTTGACATTGTCAGTTTTTGGCTGTGCAATGACTTTAGAAACATATTTCTTTTGCCATAACTAAAATGCTAATGTCTGAAATGATATATGTCTGCCTAAATGGTTCTTTAAACTTTAGGCTACCAGCAAAAAATCATTTCTAATAAGTTCTTGTAAATCTAAATTTAAATTAATAATGCTAATATTGCTAAATAATAAAGAAAATAATAATGCCAAAAATAAAGAAATTGAAAAATATCTCGTTTTATTTATATATTTATTTATTTAACCATTTAACTGTCATCTTCACAGCTTAATATTAATTTTAATTAATATTTTTTTTAATTTAAGAAGGTGATCCGCTGCGTAAAACATGTGCTGGATAAGTTGGCGGTTCATTCCGCTGTGGCGACCCCGGATTAATAAAGGGACTAAGCCGAAAATGAATGAATGAATTTAATTTAATTAATACTAATTAAAATTATTATATTTATATAGATTATTTTTCCTGAAGCTAAACTTTAAAATTATTTGAATGTTTTTTTATGTTATTTGTTTATACAGAGATCATTGAATGGTGTCATATGCTGGTGTGTTTGGTGTTTTTGTGCCTGGTTAGTTCCTCACCTGCAGTAGTTGGTTCCACACTCATAATGATCTCTGCATGGAGAACCCACAGGCTTCAGTGTGTTCCATCGCCACAGTAAAGAGCGTTTGGCCCGATGGATCAATCCAGATGCCCAGTCTGAGTCTACCGGGGCCGACTGGACCTACAGACACACAGAGGGACAGAGACAGTCAAGGAAGGTCAGTTGTCAAACCTCATTTACACGCACTGGCCACTTTATTAGGTACACCTTACTTGTACCGGTTGGACCCTCTTTTGTGTTCAGAACTGCCTTAATCTTTTGTGGCATAAAGATGTAGATTCAACAAGCTACTGGAAATATTCCTTAGAGATTTTGCTCCATATTGACATGATAGCATCACACAGTTGCTGCAGATTTGTCGGCTGCACATCCAATCTCCCGTCCACATCCAATCTCCCGTTCCACCACATCTCAAAGGTGCTCTATTGGATTGAGCTCTGGTGACTGTGGAGGCCATTTGAGTACAGTGAACTCATTGTCATGTTCAAGAAACCAGTCTGAGATGATTGAGCTTTATGACATGGTGCGTTATCCTGCTGAAAGTAGCCATCAGAAGATGGAGACACTGTGCTCATAAAGGGATGGACATGGTCAGCAGAAATACTCAGGTAGGCTGTGGCGTTGACACCATGCTCAATTGGTACTAATGAGCCCAAAGTGTGCCAAGAAAGTTTCCCCCACACCATTACACCACCACCAGCAGCCTGAACCGCTGATACAAGGCAGGATGGATACATGCTTTCATGTTGTTGATGTCAAATTCTGACTGGCCCATCTGAATGTGTCAGCAGAAATGGAGACTCATCAGAGCAGCAACGTTTCTCCAATCTTCTATTGTCCAGTTTTGGTGAGTCTGTGTGAATTGTAGCCTCAGTTTCCTGTTCTTAGCTGACAGGAGCGGCACCCGGTGTGCTCTATTCTGCTGCTGTAGCCCATCCGCCTCAAGGTTGGACGTGTTGTGTGTTCAGAGATGCTCTTCTGCAGAGCTCGGTTGTAACGAGTGCTTATCATTGTTCATCATTGTGCTTTGGTGCATAATTGCAAAGTTTGTTAAGCTCTAAATATAGACGTCTGGTCATCTAAGTTTAGAAACCCATCAAGGTGAGTCAAACCTCAAATATTTGCTTTGCAAGTAACACTGAGAATGATTTGCAAGCCTCCAAATCAGATGTTTTAGGTTTAGTTATTATAACTGTTTTTGTTGATTTTCTGAAATAACTTTCTATTAACTATATTTAAACTATTTTAACTATTAACTATTCTAAATAACTATGTTGTGAAGTATATCGCTTCTATGAAATAAAATTCCTATAAGATAAATAAAATAATTGGGTCATATTGCACATCCCTAGTTAGTACCGTATGCTATTGGTTTCAGGATCAGTTTTTGTTTATATTGGTATCAGCAAAAAATTGTAAATCGTATCATTACATCCCTAAAAAAACGACAAAATCTCACAATTTTCTTGCATGTATTTTTTTCCTATTAAAAAATATTATTAATGTTGTTGTTATTTTTCACTATTGTTATTACAACTATTATTATTATTAATAATATTATTATTATTATTTATTATTATTATTATTTATAATATTTATGTTGTCTTTTTTCTGTTTTGTATGCTTTGGCAATATGTTACAATGTATGATTAAATTAAATTTATACAGTACACACAAAAAAAAAACAAATTCAGAATAACAGTGAGAATAACAGCTCCTCATGGATTTGTGTTTTAGTGTGTGTACAAACAAAAATAGCAGGCCAAATCAAACGCATGTTTCAGCCTCCGTTTACAATCACAGGAAACTGATGAGATCCGTGTTTTTCCAGCTGGAGGAAATATTGACATGCAGATCACCCGATGATCCGCTTTTAGAAACACTGACATCCACTGATGTACACACTGATAGTGTGCTTTGTGAATTAAACAGGATCCCATGTTGCAAAATCTACCTTTTTTGGACAGAAGTGTGTGTAGTATAGTGTATCCACAGTCATATCAGAGTGATATAAACATAATTAGTCTCTTTTCTGTTTTCTGATGTTAAAATAAGATCCAAATCCCAGTGATTTTGAGGTCGACCACAACAAGAGTTAAGAGCGAGGTTTTCCCCGCCCACTGAATTGATTGACAGGACCATGTCTTCTTGTGTGTATAAAGATGTCCACAGAACAGGATTTGCTAAGAAACTGGGATTAAAAGAGCAGTTCAGCTCTCTGTGATCAGCTGCAGCTCAAGAATGAGTTTCACAAGTTTTACACATTTATAAAACAGAGAATGTTTGTAATAAAGACAGTTAAATTGATAAATAATTAATAATCATTAGAATCAGCACAGCTGCATAGTGTTGGTTCAACTTTATACAACAATGCTTCAGTCA